AGTTTATTGTGATGGCTTTCATTGGGTAAACAAGACATTTACGTCTGCTCGCCGCGCTCAACATCCATTCGTAGGCACTTTGGTATCTTTAAGTTCAGCTCGTAGATCTGAACTTGGTTCAGGGGGAGAAGCAGAGGAAGGTTCCTGTTGTGTAATTCGTTCATCATTGCGGGATGACTTGATTTATCGGCATTCCCCGATTTTGTCCGCTTACGTTTTTTTCCTGCCCAAGTCTTTGTCTACGTCTGTTTGGATGTGATCCCATATATAATGACCTTGTTTTGTTCCAGATTATTGGCGTCGGTGGAGTCCGCCATCATTTGAAAACATCGGGAATGACTCGAACGCACTATTTTCTTTTAAAGCATTATTAATATCGTGACTTCATTTTAAAGCTTCTCTCATGTTCCATCGGCCCTTTGTGGTTTATTTTTCATTTCATATCATCGACATGTCACTGAAACAGATAATGACGCTTAACTGGCCGCAAGATGAAAAAGCCCAGTGAGAGTATGTAAGGAATGCTAGGAAAATTTCCTACCATTTCTCTGCGGTACTTACAGTAGACGCTCCGTGCGTCCCGTCATGTACTGTACAGTCGAACCTCCACTAACAGCCACCTCTCTACGGCGGCCACTTTTTTTCGTCCCGGCGGACGGTCCATATATTCACTCTTATTTTAACCTCTCTGCAATGGTCACCCCTCCACAACGGAAACGGCCACTAAAGCGCGTCCCAAAATCTCTCCANCCATTTCTCTGCGGTACTTACAGTAGAAGCTCAGTGCGTCCCGTCATGTACTGTACAGTCGAACCTCCACTAACAGCCACCTCTCTACAGCGGCCACTTTTTTTCGTCCCGGCGGACGGTCCATATATTCACTCTTATTTTAACCTCTCTGCAATGGTCACCCCTCCACAACGGAAACGGCCACTAAAGCGCGTCCCAAAATCTCTCCACAACGTAACCTCTCTCCAAAACGACCAGTTACAAAATAATGGTGTTTACCAAACCCCAGGTTATATTGTAAAAGGTTACGAAACTTGATCCGTAGCGCACGTCGTTGGTCTCTGTTTCTGTTTGGTTTCTGTTTTATTGATATATTTTGATTGTGTTAGGTATTTCTATGCTACAGTAAGCATTTTTTTAGATACAAAAAATGCCGAAAGACAGGTTTCATGTTACACTCCTACCTCCCAATAACAGCCACCTCTCGAAAACGGTCATTTTCATTTGTTCCCAAGGTGGCCGTTTTAGAGAGGTTTGACTGTGTTAGGGCTTATCTTGCAAATATTACTCTCATTAACCCCTCACCTTTTTTTCGTCTTGGAGGTTTAGTAGTTTCACTGTCGTACGGCAGGTTCTCCTGCAAGTTAAAATTATCTTCAGTCAGATATTGCAAATTATATCGTGCAGCTAAAGCATAGAAAGTTCGTCTAGAAATATCTTCAGAAGGTATACAAAATAGAAATGTAACAAAAAATGATAATTTCTTTAATACGAAACACTGAGGAGCTCTTATGAATTCGTTGTAAAATTTGCAGTGTGGAAAACCACAAACACAACCACAGACACAACCCGCATACGGACGCTAGAACCAAGATTTAAACCTGGGCCACATTTCTTGCATATAGGGGGCAAACGCTCTCAAAACCATGCTGTCCCCTGCTTCCCACAACGTGGGATCGGAAAGACTCTGCTGAAACGTTCGTGTGCAACCTGTATTGCCCCAGCTTACCAAATATCCACTCGTCTTATTTCAACCCAACGAAAACACGAAAAATTATGTTTCAAAATTACCTTCAGGATCATTGTGAAAATAACACCTTGCTGATCATGAAGATTGCTGTTTACGTCGAAGAGAGACCTCTCGTGTTTGTTCAGTTCACAAGTTCCTTTGCCATTCTTTGAAGACATCACAAAGTTTGCAGAAGTACACCAAGCGTTTTGTAAACATGACTGACTGCACGAAATTAAACTGGAAGACTTGAAACGCTTCACAACGTGATCCGGCAGTCGTTTGTTTTCTTGTGTTAGAAAATATGCTGAACGCAAAGATTGAGAATTTCCTTCGACTACGAAAACGACGATATTTATCATCAGTTGAAACAGAATGAAAGCGAGAACTTGCTTAACCTCCATGCTCTAACAAACATTAATACGAAGTAAGAAGTTTAAT